TCATAGAACAAGATTCAGAGGCAAGATTGGCCAGTCAAAAGCTCAATAAACACTGTCACTCCACAAGATCTAATTTCTGAATATCTGTTCTTACATGACTGTTGTTATCTTTTTTTCTTCAGTTGCTCCATTCTCAGTGTTTGGATCCTGTCTTCCTCCTACCTAAAAATTAGCAAAAATTCCAGAAAGGAAGAAAAGTACATTTCAGAAAAAACTATCTGAGTGCAGGCTCAAATTGGTCATAATTTGTATTTTTGATTATTTTCTTGTGGCTTAGATTCTACTTTATCAGAAAGAACGAATCTGTTTTTTATTACTTTTTCAGTGAATGAATGCAGAGTTTCTTGAATTGCAGGAGAGATGTGATGTTTGTTTCTGCAGTTCTCTCCCTCTCTTTTAAAAAAATCAAAACAAAATGTTTCTGTTATCTCAGGGTGTATTTACACTGTAGGATTAATACAGCTTGACACCACTTTAATTTCCATGGCTCCATATTATGGAATCATGGGAGTTGTAGTTGTGCAAGACCGTTAGCTTTCTCTGCCAAAGAGTGCTGATTCCTCATCAAACTGCAAATTCTCAAACTGCCTTAATTCTAAAGTGAAGGCTCCCCTAGTCCATTTTGTAACAGTCAACAATTTTCTGCAACATTTTACTCCCACGTTCACACATATTTATTTTTAATTTCAAAACACATTGAACCAAAATGTTTCCATCTGTTTTCCTTTTGCATTCTTTTTATTGAATCAGTGGGATATACTATTTATACTTTTGCACTATAACATTGTAACACTAAGATTTTTTACTTCATAGGATCACTCTAGCAAATTTTTCCTGTGACAATCTACAGAGAGATTTTTTATTAAAAAAAAACTTTGTAAAGAATCCTATTATAAATGGTGAAGATTTTCCTTTGACATTAAGTCTAGTTGTGTCTGATTCTGAGGGGTGGTTCTCATCTCCATTTCTAAGCCAAAGAGCTGACACTGTCCATAGACACCACCTAGATCATGTGGCTGCCATTACTTCATGGAGCGCCATTATCTTCCTGCCAAAGCAGTACCTATTGATCTACTCACATTTGCATGTTTTTGAACTGCTAGGTTGACAGAAATTGGAGCTAATAATGGGAGTTCTCCCTATCTGCGGATTCGAACCACTGACTTTCCAGTCAGCAAGTTCTGCAGCTTAGCGGTTTAACCCGTTGCACCACCGCAGCCCCTCACCGTATTATAGATACAAGAAATAGCAACAAAGTCACTCAAAATAATGCAATGAGTGCACATAGAAGCAACATTGATTAGTAAAGCTCAGGGAATGAGCTTGCAAGAAATAATACATTTTTAGACCAAACTGGAAGAGTATTTGCTCTGGAGACCAGCATTTTCTTAGAATCATACAGTTGGAAAAGACTGCAAAGTCCAACCAGTCAAATCCCCTTTGGCCATGCAAAAACATGGGTCAAACCCCCACTCCCCCAACAGATGGCAGTCCAGCCTCTGCTTTAAAACCTTCAAAGATGGAGACTCCACCACACTTTCTTTTTTGCATTTTGGATTGCACCTCTGCTCTCATAATGCCTTTCCATTGGCTATATAGGCTGAGGATGATGGAAGTTGTAGGTAAAAAAGATAAGAGATAATATTTGGAGGGCTCAAGTTGCTAACTCCTAAATAGTGGGAATCATGCCCCATCTGTTTTAATTTTTGTGTGTGCTATAGATGGAGTATACGGTGAATCACTATGGCCTGATATGATTAAGGGCCTCATCACAATGGCCAGGCAAAGAATCCTGGTTTGCCTGGCTTTGTGGTGAAAAGAGAGGAGAAGCAGGGTGCACACAGCTCTCTCTTGGTAATTCTTTCCCTATCATATGTGGGAAACGTCACTACATTTCTCTCATGTTGTGGGGGAAGAATCCAATTATGCTTTCACCCTGGATGGGAGTGGGGCCTCAGCTGGAAGTCATACAATGTTGTGTGATGGCCGGCATGGGGCTACGTCCCCAAGACAGGGTGAAAGCATCATAGGATGCCGATTTAGATTAGCATGATTAGTACAGTCTATGGATCTGAGATTCTGATTGCCAGTGTGAATAAATCATTAGCAGTAAAGGTGATAACATGCCATCCATAGAAATGTAGGCAGTGGGCCTGAACCTCAGATATGGATCAGATCTATAGCACCAAGGTAAGCTTTTCAAAACTTGCTTCCTAGCATGGGCACATCCCTCAGCATTTGCTATTTTCATTGGTGAAAACTTCCAAGGATAAAATTGAGACCTACAAGCTTTTCGCCTCCTCCTGCCAATTTGGACTGTTGTCCATGTGCTTGCTATTTACTTTTTAAAAGCCATTTATGCAATTACTAATTGCATGATGCTGTCTTGCTTGCTTTGCCAGGAGAGACTAGCCCTTAATTAAATCAATATGAAGCAGAAATCATTTTCCTACTTTGAGTGAAGCTTTTCTTGCTTTGAGTTGTCGTCCTTATCATTAAGGAGAAGAAGATCTTTGCCTCAAGAAGCAGATTTAGGTCATCCTAAATGAACAGGGATTTTTTAGATAACTGGTTTCCTTTCATTATGCTTATAAAGCTAATATTGCTTGATCTGCAGGTGCTAAAATCATACAAGTGATCCCTTTTAAGGAAATCTTTGTAGTGATTTATTACACTCTTCCAAAGTTTTTTTCCAAAACTGCAGCATAGTTTGCCAAAGTAGTCTTAATGTTACATTACTATTGCAAAATGATAATTTATTTAAGAAACCCTGAATCAAATATGTAATTTAGTTTGGAATTTCTCAACAGACTGTATTTCTCAATGTTTGTGTTATTAAATATATACATTAGGAAGAAAAAAGAAATGAGAAAAAGATAAATGGGCCTTTCATATCTGCTGGGTTTTGTTCCAGGACCCTCTATGGTTCTAAAACTGGTGGATACTCAAGTATTATATATAATAGCACAGTGCAATGGTTTCTCAGATACAAAATGGGAAAACCAAAAATTTCTTTTGGAGGGGAAACATTACCAAGCTATTGTCAGAACCCCCAAATGGACTCCAAAACCCATGGTGCCAAGGGTGTCCAGAAACGGTGTCTGCAATGATCTTTCCCCCCATTTCAAGCAACTTAATGATGAACTCACCAAAGTTGGTACAAGCACCACACCCCCCAGGAAATATCCCACCACTTAGTGCAGGAAAAGACACCCCCTCACAATACCCCAAGAGTCTCAAAATGGGCTTAAGCAGAGCTGATCCCAATTGCCAAATCAGACCCCTTTCCTGTAGACTCCATTGAGGCGGTGCCAACATCCCTGCCACCTATTGTGTGGCCAGCTGAAACCCATTGTTCTGTTCCAGATGGACAGGAACAGAGCTATCAACCTCATTAACACCAACCCAGCCCACATTCATTTCCTCCTGCATCCCTTCCATGGTCAGACCAGGAAAGCCCCCAGACTTCAAATTGTTCAATGATCTTTAACTAAATTTCCTGCCACACCTGCAAGCCATTCAACAGTGACAACAGATGGCATATCTGCACCAATCAACAAGCAGGTTGTAGCCAGCTCTGGTTTGGGCCAATCAGTGGTCGGAGTGGCAAAGTCCTTTGTTTTAAATAGCTGTTAAAGTGCTGTAAATACATCTGTATGTTTGCAGTTGCACTCATGTCAGTTTTTGCAGTGCATCCACGTTTTGCAGTGCTGACATCCACGTTGGCCAAGGTGACTAAACACCTCTGATTTTTCCTTTCAACTGTCCATGGTTTAGTCGGTCCTTTGGGAGCTTGTTATGCTAGACCCCTGAACCTATGGTTCTTGTGGAGCTGTGCTTGACAAAGCCATGGATAGCTGACTTTATGAATACAGAACTCATGGAGATAGAATCCATGGATAGCCTGTGGATTGCAAAATTGATGGTTGCTCAAGTCCCATTATATATAATGGCACAAGAAAACTGTGCCCCCTTTATGAAAAGGCAAAATCAAAACTTGCTTTTTGAGTGGCATATTTTCAAATCATGGCCTGTTGAATTTGTGAATATAGACTCTGTGGATACAGATGGCCAACTGTGCTTTGTTCAGAGAGGTTGCAGAAATAAAAACGAGCCTGCTTGAGTAAAAATAAAATTTTGCAGATGATGCCAAAATGTATGGCAGGACAATGCAAATCTACATAATCTTGAGAACTACAGCAACAAATGCTACAACTAGCTGACATGTTTGCTTTTGTCTGGAGGAGTCTGTCATCAAAGGTAGAAACCCTCCCCAACTGTGTGCCATGGCAGCTTCCATAAACTGCTTATCTGTAGAGATTTCTTGAGCATGGCAGATTTCTGTCACGGTTACTCTACTGACTTTTCAAAGTGTCTGGTTCAGAGATGGAACCTTGCCAAGAATAAAGGCTGCATCTATTCCTTAGAGAGCCATGTTTGAGACTATATCAGGAAATGCTGGACTTGCCAAGGTCAGAAGGGCAGCAACACCCTTCTCTTCAGACAGGTGTTTGTCTTGCTGGAGTTGTTTGGGGCTGAAGGTTTTGGCACTGCAGTATCTCTCCTGTCACGCTGAAGTCCAGACAGCTGCTGTTATTATTTTTCTCATTTCTTTATACTGCCTCAATTTTCAACTCTGGAAAAAGCTACTTTTGGAGACTACAGTCTCCTGCAAACAATACAGTACTCAGAAAGTTTTCATTAGAAAAGAAATTAATTTCCAATCTCTGCTGATTTTAGGAAGACTCCAAAAATATTATCTTAAACCCCAAACAGGAACAAGACCTCTTGACTTCTCTTTCCTCCTGGGGAAAGTTTTTTGGCATCTCTGTGCACTTTTCGGTTATAGGTCAAAGCAATGTTGTCTTTATCGCTCTTGTGACTTTGAATCAGATGCTTATGTTATTAAAAGTGCTTTTCTTTCCTCCGAGTGGAGCCTTGCAATGTTGACATTCTATCATGCCCGGAGCTGCCTTTAGACCACAGATCATGTTAGCACATTACAAATATAGAACATTAGCAAACCTGGAAGGACGAGCATCCTGGCAAGTCTATACAAACAGAGATATGGGGCTGACCAACAAGCTTTGCTTTTGCTGTAAACAACCTCAGAGTTTTCACTTTTCTTACTGCTCAGGTACACCAAAGAACTCAGAATAGAAGTACTCTTTAGATGTAGGTAAGTAGAAATTTTGCTAACTGTTAAGATTAAAGTTCTTGGGAATCAAATGTGCAAATAGATAATTGTGCATTGATGCTGGTTGGAAAGCTTTAGTGCCTGGAAAATTGTATGTGTGTGTATGACTGAGAGAGAAGACTGATGTTGTTTATTTTCTCATGCTTATTTTAAAATACCTGCTGTTTGAAAAATAATGTAAAGACAAGTTCAGTGCATTCATTCTACTGAGCTGAATTGCTTCACTCCACAGATAAGTTAGTGTAGGAAGTACAGCGAGAGTATTTTCTTTTAATTTATTTATTTAAAGTGTATCTTTTCTGCTGATCTGCATTATGAAACACAAAAGGAAAAAAGCCCAAACATTTTGCAACTCAAGGGAATAGGCTGCAGTGAAAATTATTTACTTTACAGGGAAAACCTGTTTGAGAGGTTGGTTGTTTATTGTCTTAGTTGAATGTCAGGAGCCTAACTGAAGCTTTATCTGTTTACTTTGTATCCTGCATTTATTCCACCATGAGATCCAAGGTGGTGTTCAACCTTTTAAAAACCTTTAAAAAAAGAGTGCAACTCACAAGTTCTTAGTACAAAAGTTTAAACACAAGTAACAGAACCTATATTTTAAAAACTAGTTAAAATCCCAGTTATAAGCAGTTTTAACAACATATATAAATATAACAAAAGAGAAAGATAACACTGTCATTAAAAGTTCTATCTGACATAACATATTAAAAACCAAGTGCTTCCTTAAATAGAAAGGCCTTTACATGCCAACAGAAAGACATCAGAGACATGGACAAGCAGACCTCCTGAGGAAATGAGTTCCACAACTTGGGATGCATTTACACTGAAGAATTATTTCAATTTGGTGACACTTTAACAGCTCTGTCTCACTGCTGTGGAATCATGGGAGTTGTAGTTTGGTGAAGAAACATCATTCTTTAGCAGAAAAGACTGATGAAGGCTTATAAAAGTACATCTCCCATGACTTTTTAGTATTGAGCTATGACAGTTAAAATGAAATCAAATTGCAGGAATTCTACAGTGGAGATGCCGACCTAGAAATTGCTTCTGAAAAGGCTCTCTGCCATGCCTTCACCAGCTGGAATATATTCAGGTAGGTATGAATGTAAACCAGGAATTACACATTCATGATATCTACATATTAGTTTAGGGAATATGAAAGTATGCCCTATACTCCAAGCCCTCATGTTCCTGGCAGCTGCTGCAGCAATCTATAGTGGTCTGTTCCCTTGTCAATCAGAAAATAGCTCTTCCTCTCATCTTTGGAGTGAGGGAAAATTGCATTGGTACTTGTATGGTTGCACCAGAGATTGCTCATGAGAGTGAGTGGGAACACCAATAAACTGCTTCCTGATTGACAAGAAAACAAACCTCTGTCATTTGCAGCAGCAGCTGCCTAGCATATGAGAATTGCAGCGATTGGGCTGAGAGACCATACTTAGCTAAACAATCAAGACAGTTATATAGCAAAGTAAGGACCTTATCACATTGTACGATGGGCAAAGTAGCCCATGTAATGAGGTTGTAAGTAATGCTGAATTGTGGTCATAGGTTTTTTTTTGGTTAAATTTAACTGGAATTGCTTTGTAACTATGTATGTATTATTAATGACAATATGTGATTTATAATCTGGTAAATTAATTAAAATGTGTTAAAATAAATAATTATGAAATACTGGTCATCAAAATTTTGTCAGTAAAATAAAGATGAAAACCAAGAAAGAAAACCAGCAAATATGTTAAGCATCTTTTCAAACCAGGTGAAAAAAGAAGTAGAAACAAGTTATTTATAGAATGGGCTTACTAGCTGATTGAAGAGCTGGGGAATACATCTGCAAGACATTCTGCTGAATGTGATACATCCATCATGCTTGATGGCAAACACATTAGTGCTGTGAGAGCAAGGGTAATACAAGAAATACTCCCCAATGAGCCACTAGTTAATTCATAATTAAAAACTTAATTAATGAACATCCTGATGAGGAGCTTAAATTTGGTGGCAAAAATAACATAAAATGCAGAAATATGAGAGAACCTTGTTGATTAAATTATTTGTTTGGTGACGTCTAGAAGACTATTAAAAAGCCGAACAAGAAAACTCAGGGGAGTCTGCAGCAGTTTGGCTTTGGTAAGGGCAAGATTCTGCCCCTTCCTCTCCACCCTGCTGACTTAATTGACTACAAACTACTTTTCTACTTTGAAAACTGGGGTACATTTGGCCAAGCAACATTAGAGTTGGTCATGATGACAAAAAATACTAACGAGGAACAACACACAATCTAACTTGCTTTTGCATCAGCCTACAAGGAAAAGCAAGATTCTGGCCCTTCTCCTCCCAGTTGAGTTGAGTGCAAACAATTTTTTCCACTTTGACTACAGTTTGCAGCAACTGAAGTAAGCTGAAAACAAGGGGAGAGAGTAGGAGAGACATTTTTAAAACAGCTGAAAAAATGGGATGACAGAGGTTTAACTGGAACTGTCCATGACAAATTGGGAGAGCTGGAGGATATGAAATCAGGTTTCCATGGTTTTAGGAAGGAGTTGGCAACTGCAACCATTCACAGGTTTTTGCAATACAGCTTTTTTAAAGTTTTAGAATACAGAATATAGTAATATATTATTCATATTATGTTTAGTTCACAAATCCTGTTGTGATAATCTATTATGGACTTTGTAGGAGCCCCTGGTGGCGCAATAGGTTAAGCCCTGTGCCAGGTCAGTGGTTCGAATTTGAGGAGATTGTGTTGAGCTCCCTCTGTCAGATCTAGCTCCCCATGCGGGGACATGAGAGAAGCCTCTCACAAGGATAGTAAAACATCAAATATCCAGGCACCCCCTGAGCAATGTCCTTGCAGACGGCCAATTCTCTCACACCAGAAGCAACTTGCAGTTTCTCAAGTTGTTCCTGACATGAAAAAATGACTATGTAAAACATCAGAAGAAAGCAATGCAGCTTTTTAATAACTTATCATTAACTATGTCAGCTGGGAGTGATGGGAGCTGCAACACTTGAAGGGCCACAGTTGCCTACTCTTGGTTTTGGGGTTCAGTGGGAGGACTTCCATCATGAGTGTCTTACAAGAAGAGCAGAACAACCATAGAAGCATAAACCCAAAAAACCAATATTTTTTATTGTCCAGCATGTAATAAAATGTTTCTTGGAAGGAGAAAAGAATAAGTAGCACTGTGGCCCATTCACTGAGCCAGTGAATATTACATGACGACTAACATTTCAATAGCCCTACATTTAAACCAAGTTTCACCCAGAAGATACATCTTTAAAAAGTTAACAGTGCTCAAAAGTATAATTAGAACTTCATTTAAGCTAACTGTCAACTATCCAGTGACTGAGGTTGTAGAATTAGTACTGTAGCCATGCTTGTTAAAAATGAAATAGACAAAAACGGGTAAACTACCTTTAATTTGTGCAAAATGAGTGCAAAAATAATAAAAACCAGGATCAATGGTGATGAGATGATAATTCCATTGCTGAAACTATTATCAATATATAATGTTAGGTGCCTAAATATGTTTTTAATGTTGCAGTTAGCAGGTGTTGAGTAAAGCAAAATCAATAGTAAAGAAGATAGTAGTTATTTCAGAGACATGTCTTTACACTGGTATCCATGTGATCTGAAAAGCAGAAAGGTTTTTACAGTAGCTATGAATTACTCAGCAGATGCATTGACTCTTTCCTTGTGTAAATCTGATGAAGCCATCAGAGGGACGCTGGGGACAAATCTAGTTCAGTGTGTTAAACATGAGCATATTGATTGAACCCCAGTAAATTCTCCTGCTGTAAATAGAAATGGCTAAAGCTATGATTCCCAGCTAGTAGAGACTTCAGTCTACAGAGCTTCTTTGTTGCAGATTATAAATAAAAAAACATACCATAATAAATCACTCGACAAATTTCCCTTTTAATGGCCTTGAACCCTTTCTTCTCAATCTGAGATCCTGCTCTAATTATAGTATATTGCTGGAGACCAGCCTTCATGATCTCCCCAACTAATGGATCATAAAGCTGAGTGTTACTATAACAATGTGTCATCCAAGAAAGGTGTACCATGGCCTAAGGAATAATTCAAAAGCACATGTCATCTAGGAAAGATGAAATTTGGGAGCAAATTCTGCAACGCTGTATGAAAACCATAGTTAAACGCTCATCCATCTAAGATTCGTGAGCTGCAGTTGGGAAAAGCCCATCCAAGAGTTGAGGCATCATAAATTACCCATAGCTTACTGACAGCTTACTTCATAATGAAAGAAGCTAGGCAAAGAGGATTTATCCAAATGTGCCATATCCAGATATGAGTAATACAAGCCATGCATTTGCTAATACAGAGCTGGGTATTTATGGGAGATGATGCAGGTGATAAATAGTACATGAGTCAAAGACTGAAAGCAAAGATGGCAGAATATAAAATAAAAGGCTTGTGAGAGGATGGTAGCACACAACTAGATTTGTACCTACCATCCTCCATTCTCATCTAACAGGAACATAAACGCACAAGGGACATGGGGTTTGGTCTATGCTACAGTTTACCTTCATCAGTATTTGATAATTTTTTTTATTACATCTTCTTAAACTCTCATTCTGGCAGGTGGATTCTGGGAGATATCGTCCAAAAATGATAACTCCTAAATTGCAGATCTCATGTTCCTTTGATGGCTGGAAATATATGGCCTTCCAGAATTATGTTGGACTACAACTCCTAACAGTCCTAATAAGGTGATGATTGGCATTATAGTTCATCAAAACCTAGAGGGTCACATACTTCCATCCTTCTTTCAGAATATCCTTACTAGAAACATGCCCTCATTACTTTCTAAAACTTTGTTATAACAAATCTAAAAGAACTAGCAATGCAACACAAAAACAAAAAAGTCAATATTAAAATTCAGGAGTCCTTCTGTGGCACAGTGGTATCTAAGATAATCTATAAAACAGATTTTTTTCAAAAAGAGAGCAACCCCTCTTTGAGGTTCCCATTAAAAGCATAATTCAGTAAGATGAGCTTTATTTATGACGCTGGTGATTTGGCTAGCAGGTAATGACACAAATAAAAGGATTGTCCAGTAATTGAACAGGTGTATTGAGCAATAGGACAACTGTTCAAACTCTACTGGAGGCTAGGAAAAATGATTTTCCTTCCCATTTAATTGCAATCTATATTAGGACCATTCAGTACCATCTTTAGAAGTGGCTGCTTCTGGAGGCAAATGCTGGTGAATAAACAGCACCAGCAAGGTATTGCTAAGGGCAGTTGTGTGTGCTGCACAATCTGCCATGTACCTTCTGCTGCGTACCTTCAAGTGTGATGGAAACATTCTCCCATACAGCAGTGTCATCTTATCCTTTGTCTCAGGCAGCAAAATTTCTTGGCCTCCTCTAGACTAGGTAGTCAACTAATTGATAATAATGATCTAAAACTATAAAATATTAATTAATACTGTGATTAAGGTCAGCAAAGGAAGACCACTCCCTCCAAATCCAACAGCATGGCTTAATTAATTGAATTATATTTCTATCCTCATTTTCTCCCAAAGGACTCGATGTTGCATGGTTCTTTTCCCACTTGGATCCACATAATAACCATCTGAGGAAGGTTAGGTGGAGGAGTAGGGAAGATTTTAAACTCAGTCTCCTAAGTTCTAATATGCCACAAGCTTGTGGCCCTAAAGGTGTTTTGGACTTCAGCTCCCAGAATTCCTGGCCACTGGGCAAGCTGGCTAGAGCTTTTGGGAGTTGGAGGCCCAAAGATCCGAAGGGCCACAAGTTTGACACCTCTGCTTTAGGGTATCTAATCCCCCCTCCCCAAAGCTTCCAAGTTCTGAAATTAACTATGACTGAAAGAGAATTTAAGAATCCCTGAAGAGACCTTCCCAGTGAGAGGAAATGCTCATCTTCTCATCCAGTAATTCTATTTCCCAGAATGCACGTTAGCTAGATGGTCCCAGGAACCCTACAATGATGGTACCATGTAAACAGAAACTCTTTCCCTGTTTCATGACCTGCCCCCATGACCTGCAGCAAACAAGAGTTTCATTTCAGCCAAAATAACTAACTGCCAGTGTCCATGAATTTGTCTAACCTTTAAAGAGAACAGAAAAGAAAACAAGAAGGGGTTATTTCTCTTACGTTGAATTGAGAACCCCCAGCTCTCTTTTATTAAGTGTAATAAAATTGGCAGCTAAAGAAATCTCAAGTGAAGTTTAAAAAGAAAAAGAAAAAAAGGGGGACGGGGGAAGGAGAAACAGCCATTTTTATCCAGGTAGTAGTAATTATTTTGAAAAGGTTTTCTGATTTCTATTACATAGAATTCCCCTAGTGTGGATCTGTCAACAACGTTATCAACAAGTGAGCATGACAAAAGCCCTGGGTAGATAAGAGTCATTTCACAATTGAAATAAAGTTGAAATGATAATGTCTTCAGGCAGCCATGATTCTGACCAAGTGAGAGACATTTTACTTGTTTTCTAGCTACATTGGTAACAGAATTTATATTTTACTGGCTTATCATTATGTCAGTTTTAAGGCAGTATCCTGAAACACTGGGGTGAGGTCCTGTTAAAGATCTTGTCTGCTAATAAAAGCAGGTCAGCCTGTGGGAACTATTATAGAGCTACAATGAAGAGTAGTTTTAGTTAAACAATTGTAAAAAAAATGTTTTCTTTCTTCATAGAAGTAGATTGTTTTTGCCACTCATAGCAAAATCTGTGGGTTTCCAATGAATATAATGATATACACAATGTCATATAACATTACCCTCATAACAAAAGAACCCATATCTGTGGTTATACTTCTCCACACCTGGAGTAGTGTGCCTCTAGGCATCTGCTTAATCCTCCAATTGTGATTCTATTGAATGCTTCCCCCAGAAGTTACCATAGAGCCATGCTGGAGGAAAAGCAAATGCCTAGAGAGGATAACTCTCAAGGAATCTCTAGATCTTCCAACACAACTCTGTGGCATGCTGGGACTGGTAGTCATTTATTTTAAATTGTGCATTGTTTTGATGATATGTAATTCTGTTTTATGTGTGACACCTTGAGTGTTTTGTTAACTGCCCCGGGTCCCTTCAGAGAGATGGTGGAGGGATGATGGTGGTGGTGATGATTAAATGTGTTCCAAATCTGGAACAAATGTATCCCCCATGGATATGGAGTTCTTACTATATTAACAATTTTTAGCCAGTCTGCCTTGTTGCAGGAGAGATCAGGGTCAGGATCCAAGATAGGGAAAAAAAAAAACTATGGGCAAGCAGTGAGAAACAGTAGTGCAGTCGTGGGAGGAAGGGAATGAGAGGAGAGGGTGGAAAGGTGGCATCAGAAGAACCCATGAGTAAAACAAAAGTTTTCTAGTAGTGGTGGCATTAGTAATTTTAATTTTTGCCATTAGTATGTTGTAAATCGCCTTGAGTCTCCCCAGGGGTGAGAAAGGCGGTATATAAATACAACCAACAAAACAACAATGTATGTGCATGACTTGCAAACTCTGTCTCAGAGTACATTACTTCATGCTGTAATACTATGTCGAGATTCTTCATTGACTCATAATGCCAGGAACAGCAACACTAAAAAAGAACTAAAGCAACATACAGACAATAGATATACTAAAATCCCCAAATTAACACTTGTTTTCTGTAAGATGCAGTCTTACTTAAGAGCCATTCTGGTACTATCCATTTGCTCATTACAAAACTCCATTCACCACTAACAGGTATGAAGAATCTCCTTTAATATAGAAGTCTTTATTTTGGAAGCTGAAGTGTTGCTGTTCCTGGCATTACGAGTTAATGAAGAATCTACTTTAATATAGAAGTCGTTATTTTGGAAGTTGGGTTTTTTTGACTACCACTGGTATTGGACTTAAGACCTTTCGGAGCTCCAGGACTTATCTGGACTGGCTGTTTCTATATGCTTTTCTTTATATCTAGGACACGGAACAATGGCTTCAAACGACAAGAAAGGGGATTCCACTTGAACATTAGGAAGAACTTCCTGACTGTGAGAGCCATTCAGCAGTGGAACTCTCTGCTCCAGAATGTGGTGGAGGTGCCTTCTTTGGAGGCTTTTAAACAGAGGCTGGATGGCCATCTGTTGGGGGTGCTTTGAATGCGATTTTCCTGCTACTTGGCAGAGGGTTGGACTGGATGGCCCATAAGGTCTCTTCCATCTTTATGATTCTATATCTGTCACGTATTTCGTGAATAATATATCCTTAGTTGAATTATAATATGAGAATTTTACTTTTACTACCATGAATTTTGAAGTCTTCTCGACATAGTAATACAGCATGAAGTAACTTACTTTGAGACAGAGTTTGCGAGTCACGCACATACACTGTTGTTTTGTTGTTTGCTGCCATAAGTATCTGTGCATTACACACACAAAGGTATATGAATACATTTAAATAAATAAAAAATAAAAGACCCTGTTGTTTAAATGAGAATAGATGGTTAACACATGCATGTTCTTTGCCTGTATTTTCAGATCTTACATGGGAATGGTCTTCACAATCACCAGTCTGATATAAACTCCTTTTCATGTTATAACTAAGACTAGCAAAGTTATTTTGACAACTAAGAAATGATTCAAGATACAATTTAAAATAATTATATACATAATAACGCTCATGATGTCCAAAATCAGCTGCTTAAGTTGGCCATCTCGCCATGTAATGGTAGGGCTTGCATGAAATATAATCTGTTCCTAAATTCAGCTTTCTGTCCTCAAGTGCATAGAAATTAATTATGGTGCATGTATGCTTGTGGGAGTTTAGTCTAATTCAAGTGCTGCAGGAAATGTGAGAATGGAAGAAGTTATAGTGACGCATTTAAAAATGTGACACAAACTGGGTTATCTTTCCAACAACATGGGGCAAAACGTCATTATTTTTTAAAGCTAGTTGCTTATAACTGCATAAGTATATATTTTGAAAAACATGAATATTATCATGACAAAATTGTTCTTACAGGAGAATCTTAATGTCGGCAATATGGGGCATCAGGTGATAATATTCGACTTTTCTACTGTAAGAGGTTTGTGGGAGATTCGTGTTAAGAAACACAAGGAACGGCAAAAGAAGGAAAAGGAAAGAATAGCCAAAAGTGCATTGGAGAAGTAAGGAAATGTTTTATTTATTTTGAGGTTATTTTGATTAATTGTCTGATGACTGAATTATAAAATCAAACTGTGGGTCAGTTGTAATCAACAGCAGTTGGTTGGCACTAAATTATTAGATAATCTTTGTCTGCAGGATGGATTTATATTATTTCCCTATGCATTTGACAGATTGTTGATTTTCTCTTGTAGTGCAAGTTAAAAAGTGGTTCCCTTAACCATATTTAAGCTGAGATACTTCAAAATCTAGTCTAAACCCACTTCCTATTATTAAATTTACTTTGCACAGGGACAACCCAAGACTTTCTATTGCTTGAGACAGCATAGCCAATGGTGACCATAATGCATGTACACAGTACACAAATCCCACTACTATTTTGGAACAAGATATAGGAAAACCTTCAAGTACCTTGTTTCAATTTAAAAAGCAATGTGATGGCTCAAACTAGGGTTTAATTAAGATAGTTTCATAACAACATCCATATTTTTGTTTTAAAAAGTGTTAACCACCCTAGATATCAGAAAAGGAAAGGTTAACTATTAAATAAGAAAAGAAGCAAACTTGCTTCACACTAGAATATGAAGACAACAGACTTCTCCAACTGTTCCCCAGTAATTGCTGCTGAGAAGCAGACCGCCTCTGGATCAATTTAGCTGCTAGTATTTCCATTGATTATTATTATTTCTTTATTATTACTTATTTATACCTCACTTTTTCTCTCCACAAGGAGACTCAAAGCAGTTGATGGAGGCAGCACCTTCATCACAGGTAAAAGGGCAAAAATATGATACCTGGGACCCTACATTGGTTGTGCACCGTGTGTCAGAATTCATGAAGGGAACATGTGTGGGAGACAGCTCTGCGAGTGAGAGATGCAACTGTGAGGGAGGGAGGAGGAGGGGGTCTACGCTCACACTACCTGCCCTCCCAGAGCCCCGGCCCCTCCACTGTCAGAAAGCGGGCAGGGGAAAGCACAAGAAGAGGGGAAGGGGGAGGAATCCAGTTCCTGTCACTCTGTTCACAGTAGGGCCTTGTAAAAACCTTCCCCGGCCACCAGCACATTTTCCACTTTTTGAAGAAAGCAGCCCCAGCAGCTGGGGGAGCTGTCCAAGCGGACTTCCTTTCATTCATTCTGATGTGTGTTGCACAACCAGCGTACGGGTTTCAGCTATGTGTAGGGTCCCAACTATCATACTTTTGCCGGTAAAAGTTCCTTGTATATCTAAAAAAAAAACAAAGCCTAATTTGGCGTGTAAAGGTAAACAACACTACCACTTCTTGCAGAAATAAAATCTATAGGAACTTGGAGTCAGACCTTTGATCAGTCTAGCTTAATACTGTCACAATTCATGACAGTGACTATGTGGGTTTCCAGGCATGATTGTTTCCTTGCCCAACCTGGAGGTGACAGGGATTACCTTATCATTGCACTATGACATATTGCTTCCTTCCTGGGATTAGGTATAGGTACAAGCTTCAGTGACATGGCTAGTGGCCATGATGGCTTGGATTCTAGGGAAAAACGACTTTTTCAGGGTAGCTTACTATCAGCCAAAATCATAGTATCATCATAAACTCTAGTGTAATGAACAAAAGGTGGATAAGAATTGTTTTGGTCCACTTTCTTTCCCCAAAGCATGCATGCATTTGGTAAACCTTTAAAATGTCCACCTTTTGATAAATAAACAGCCTGAATTGCTTTATTGTTTCCGCACAAAGTGTTCCATTCACTTTATCATGTTAGATACTGTTTTTCTGTAGCTTTTCCAGCTCTGTGATGCAAGAAATTTGGAGACCCAAAGGCTTTCCATGCTATTTTCATTTTTCTCTAGAATTGTAATCAGATTTTCAGATGGGCTTAGGTCACAGGACAGTGTTTTTGATGTGAAAGAAGCAAGCTCAGTAAAGATCATTTGTAAATGTTGAAGTCATAAAATGCTTTTACAGTGCTATTGTAGTCATGTCTTCTCAGAAATAGATGGCACTAAATTCAATGAAACTTTGCAGTATCAGTGCAATTTAATGCCACTTTAACTGTCATGACACAGTACTATGGAATCATGAGAGTTGTCATTTTTCAAGATCTTTATCCTTCTCTGTCAAAGAGTGCCAATGCATCTCCAAACTACAAATCTCATGATTCCATAGCATTGGGTCATTGCAGATAAAGTGGAATCAAATTGCATTCATTTTACAGCGTTGGCAGAATCCCATATATGTTAACATAAGCTTGCAGCTTATGGCTGAATAAAAAACTATAGTTGTGTTCAATCTATTCCTATTTAATTGAATGTGTCATGGCTGATAGCAACTAAAAAGAAAAGATTAGGAAGTAAGTTGAGATGAATTGAGAATTCTGTAAATGGTTATAAGTATGTTTTGTAATATTTTTTAATCATCTGATTGTAAGTACATAATAACTCTATTCCTTCTCAAGTATAGGGAAACGTTGGTTCTCCTAAGATTTTGGATTTCAACTACAGATTGATTATCCCTTATTTGAAATGCTAGAAATCTTTCAGATTTTAGATTTTGTTTGGTATTTTGGAATATCTATATTTGAATATATATATTACATACATAAATCTTGGAGATGGAAACTAAGTCTAAACACAAAATTCATTTATCTTTCTTATGGATTTTATACACAGAGCTTGAACATAATTTCATACAATACTTACAATAATTTTGTGTGTGTAACAAAGTTTGTGTGCATCAAACCATCAGAAAATAAATATGTCACTGTCTCATGTGTCATTCATGTGAACGCTTCTGGAGTCTATTGGGCTTCCAGATAACTGATGCTCATACTGTACCAGAAATCTCAGCAAAATATAGACATTGGTAAAAGGTTGTGAGAATTTTGTCTCTAAACATTTGAGGGACAAAAGATTCATGGTTCCTGTGATAATAGTTTCATAGCATACAAGGTTTTTGAGTTCTCTGAACAGAAATTGTTAAGCTATGTCAAGTGATTTTGTTGATGAAGACATTAAATGGTAAAACTGTCTCCAGCTCAACTAGAAGTTTATGGGATGGTAGTCCTCATATAAAGGACATCAGGCCAGGAGGCTTTTAAAAGACTCACCTGAATAAACTGAGTTTGTTAAAATCATGTAATTGTTTTTAAAATTGATGAAATATGTTGAAAAGTACTGCCTGGTTAGCAAGAATCCAGTTAACTTATTAATAAATGATCGATCTCATCCACTCATTTCTGGTTCATTTTATGTTATATATTGTAGAGATCCGATGGGACTTGAGAACATATAAACTTGTAATGGGATTGTTCAGTGAAAGCAAGTTCATCACTAGTATTTAATGGCCCTGGAAGAACAAATTTATCTTCTGATATTCAGAGAAAAGGTTTTGTGTTTGAAATTTTGGCCAGTAACCTTTATTTGTCCATCAAAGATTACTACTGCTTAGGGACATTTTTTTCTTTCCAGAAGCTTGCTTCTCTTCTGAGCCATGCCATTTCAATAGTGATCTGGATTCAACTGTGGTAGTAAAGGACACAAGCCAGGAAGTATGAGAGACATCAGTGGCAGCATTTAATAACTTTTATATCCACTGTCTGTACTTCCTTAGCAGTTTTCTGTACCACAGGAATGATGAAAAATTGGATGTTTTATATATTAGTAGAATGTGAATCATAAAGTGTAACCTACATTTCAAACTTTGTTAAGAGAAAACTTTCAATTGACAGAATCAATCTCCTTGCTCTCCCAAAAACTCTCCTATTCCTCACAAATGATCAGCAGGGGAAGGGTTGCCAATTAGCTGTTAGCTTTCTGCTTTATAATTTTCGAAAGAGCTATCCCCTAATTTTGCTATTTGCATTACAAACAAATCTCACTCTTCAAAGTAAAGCAGTGATTATTTTTATTTAAAAATATATTTAAATCATCGGCCTGTGCATTTCAAATGAACCTTGATCTGTTTCTGCTGGCCAAATTCTGGTAGACCCCTGTATCTGTTTTTGTGTGCCTCCCGAAAATGGGCAGGTAGCCAGATAGCTGTTTTTGGTCCACAGCTGGAAAATGAGGCTAAATCCAGCCCATTGGCGGCAATGGGGAACTTATGAGACCCCCTTTCACATTCTTGGGATTCTTTCCTTTTTTCTCTTTAGGGGAGCTTGGGTTTCAGCAACAGTGTTAAGAAAGCACATTTCCTGGGATCCTTTCCTTTCTTCCCTTCAAGGGAGCCTGTGTTTCAGCAACAGGGTTAAGGAAGCAGACACAGCTTGTGTAAGACATGTTGTGGCATTCTTCTCTTCTGATTGGGTCAACAGCCAGGTCTCAAAGGGAAACCCTGTGTGAGCAGGCCATTGTATGATACTGAATAGGGGAGGAGGAGCTGTGATCAGCTGCCCATGGTCCCATAATGGATGAAAAAATGTGACGGCTGGACCCTTGCTGTTATGGCCATCCAGCCAAGCCAAACAAGCTGGATTGGCTGAAAGGAACTGACCACTCCGAATCCATGCACAAGCCTAAAAGTGGGCCCTTAGTACCAAGACAACCCCTTTGCCCCCATGGATACCAACCCACACGCTCAAGCCTCATTATACACAAGGGTGTGATAAAATGGTGTACCTTATATAAAATAATAAAATCAGAATTTGCCTTTAGGATTTTTTTTAAAAAAACTGTTCAAGCCATAAATAGTTGAATCTATGTATGCAGAATCTGTAGGTACAGAGTACCAATTTTGGGCCCATCATACTATTTTGGCCTCTGAGGAAAGCAAGTACAAACTTTCTCTGACTAAAACTTGCCAAGAAAGCCATGAGTAAAATAGTCTTGAAAGCACATGATAGCAACAAATTTTGAGAGTTTGATTCATCAGTTTGAATACACTGAGATCAACCTTCAAGTCAAAATACAGTGGACTGTTTAGATCTGCAGGCACTGGATTCATGATTTCCACTGACCATGAATTGTTGCATCCTATACAGTGAGTTCTGATAATCCAAAACTGAACAGTCTAATTTTTT